GTTTACCTGTACAATTTGCCATGGCATGTCAAGAATGGTACGGGCAGTTCGACGTAAAAAGCTGCCAAGACCGGGTGTGGGACCAGCTCGAATAGGTCTACCTGGTGCAGCTGCACCATCATCAAGCTTTCTTCTCTTTCTGCGTGCCTTTCTCTGCTTTGACTGAAGCTCCCACTTCCTCTTCTGGTACCTCAGCCACACTAACCGTTCATTCTGAATCAAAATATAACGAAAGTTAAGACAACGGTTTTAAATTACTAATGTGCCTGTGACAGAGTGCCTCAAGTGAACAAAATACTATTTCAAATGCATAGAAAAGAAAAAAATTCCAGTAACACTGAAAATGTTTAACAGGGAGAAAAACGAGTTAATGTCACAGGTCAAGTAACTGATCGGTCCAGACAAAGGAAGGAAGGAACAAACAGACAAACAAACCACCACTCCTTGACATTCAATGGTGTTACCATCACTGAATTCCCACTATCAACATCCTGGGGGTTAATACTGACTAGAAACAAAACTGGAATCACCATTCAGTGCCTACAAGAGCAGGTCAGAGGCTGGTAATACTGCTGCGAGTAATTCACCTCCTCATTCCCCCAAGCCTGTCCCCACTTGCCTGGATGAGTGCAGCTCCAGCAATACTCAAGCTTGACACCATCAGGACAAAGCAGCCCATTTCAATGGCATCACATTCACACACATCTACCACTAATACTCACATCTACAAGACGCTGCAGAAATTCACCGATGATCCTTAGACAGTATCTCCTAACCCATAACCATTTCCAACTAGAAGGTCAAGGGCAACAGATACATGGGAACACCATCACCTCCAAGTTCCTCTCCAAGCCACTCACCATCTAGACTTGGAAACACATCACTGCTGCTTCACTGTCCTGAGTCAAAACCCTAAAATTCCCTCCCTCCCAGCACATGAACTGCAGCTGTTGATCGTGCACTCACCACCACCTTCTCCAGGGCAACTAGGGACAGGAAAAAATAGCTGGCTCAGCAGTGACACTCATATCCCATGAGTGAAGAAAAGACTAATACGAGTTTAAACCAGAATGCTGGTGCATTAGCATTAACTAATTTTCTCTCCACAGATATTGCTTAAGCCGAGTATTTGTAGTAATTTCTGTTTCCACGTCAATTCTCAGCATCTACAGTTTTGCTTTTGTAACAGTAACACTTGAAAATGCTTGAAGAGAGGAAGATGCTGATGTTGCACTGATTTTTCTATCTTTCAAGTGTTGAGAAGTTAGCAATGAAAGTATAAAACTAAAGAATATAAACATAAGTTTGACTTTACAGTGCAGTAGAATTCACCCAAAACATCAAAATAGACAAGAAAACAGTCCGTCTAATCCTAGGCTACCCTTTTAACTCAGAGCATATGGCCTTGCACTAATCTCAGATCTTAAACTAACAAGTGTTCAGATTAGAAACAGCAATGGGAAGCACTCAACAGGAGTTGGTAACTGTACATTACAAAGAATTTCTCAAGGTGCAATGCCAAATGTCATTTTTCATGTCTCTATATAAAAGGAGAACCTGCAGACCTAAGAAACAGACAGACAGACAAGGATCAAATATATATATTACGGCAACGGTAAGAATGTGAATTTAAGAAGGTATAGACAGTCTACTTGTTAAATGACCTCAAACATTTTTCAAACAGCTGTTTAGCAAAATCCTTTGCTTTCTGATTTAATACTTGCATAACATTCAGTACAATTTCCAAATGCACAAATACTGCAGTAGCCTATGTCCACTTGCAGAAGACATTCAGATCAACGT